AAATTTCACTTTTCTTCCGGATCGTAAGTAAACTTAAGTACAATCATCTTAATCATCGATGTCTACTTGTACTTCAGGTGGCATATCTAGTAATTTGGAGGCCGTTTGACCGTGCATGAACATGTTTTATGCCAAATCACGGAAATGGAATATCACGTCGTCACGCGGTTACCATTTTGTTTCGTATCCATTCCGTAGCTGAAGTGCAGGTTTTAGCGTGTCAACTATACTGCAACAATTGTTTGAGATGTTATTCATGTTTCAGCATACACAGGGAGTAGTTCTTCGGGATTACCAGGCACCGTGTTGATAAATCTGTAATCTAACCCTTGTTTGTCCTCCCCGAATGTGGTATACCTCGTAACTGACATCACACCGTAAAAAAATGACACCAAAACTATTGGCACCCACGATGGAAAAGTTGCCGAAAGCACGCGGGTTTCTTCTTGCAACAAAGCAAGGGTTGCATCCGGGTACTTTGATCGCAAGACGTTCATCCAGAAAATCTATAGAGGGCGCACGCGCGATCGCATTTAATTATCACGTCGTCACGTTTTTTAGTGGATGCGAAGTCAACTACCAGTGAGTAACCACGGTTGTTTTTTAAAAATCGTGTAGTTTTTTTCATGATTTCTGGTTGGATACGAATGGAATGCTACTGTTTCTCGTGGAAATCGTTATTTGGGTCTTCTAAATGACTCTGACATTTTACAATATGTCGGTAAATTTCGGTTTCACCTCGCAACATTGCTGACACGAAATGTTACGATGGGCGCTGAGACTTCCGTGATCGATACTTCAGAAATGCAAGACGCATGGAATAAATAACAATCAGGGAATCGTAAACGGTCTATTGGTTCAACTTTATTTGCAAAACATTATTTAAAATATACTCTTGGGAACACAGAATCGTACATTGAAGACCGAGTATGTTTCATGTCACAAAATATTCTTAAAGTAAACATGGATACCATGATATTTTGGTGACGTAGTTTGGGTTTCGACCAATTGGAGGTCCCAAAAAATTTTTTTTTCTTGTTCGCCCATTCATCCTCAATAAATCGGGATCGATAAAAAATGTGATTAATTTGTCAAAAAAAAAAATAACAGCACTTTGTTTTCACTGGACCACTGTCACTGATGCATTGATTGTGTACCCAACTTCATGGAATGACCCATATGCCTGCAACCCCTACATCAATAGAGTGATCAAGACTATGTGATCAAGACTATGCATGTACTGGTAGCTCAACGATGACAAAATACAATGTAGTTGAAAAGGTGGTCACCTTCATGTGTGTACATGTAAGTAATTATTAGTTTCCATGAAAGTCACAGTGTTTATGAAAAGTGGTGTTCTGGTGTAACACTTAAACCAGCGGCATGTCCCTTGATAAAGGCCAGAAGTTTGCAGCTGTTGGAGAGTGTCACCTCCACCAGTCATCTGGCTGTCTCAATATCTGGGTTAAAGTGACATTAACAGGCTGATTTATGACACCCTGGGTATCACTGAAGATTGTGCAGATTGTGCCAAGAGCATTCACCCAAGTCAAGCCATAAATCACCTTCTTCGTTTTTTTCTACATAAAAAAATGATTGTTGAGAGAGATTTAAGCACCGGCAGCTGTTGCTTTCCTTTTGATTGCTGCGAGTACTCAATAATAAAGGTGCTAGCTGAAATGAGTCAAGTAGTTTGGGCTCTCAGTTTCAGTCATGAAAAACTTGGTTTGAGGCACCCACGGATGCACCAAGAAAATGTTGATCCTTACCTTCAGCACTCAGGGACTGCATTTTGGATAATTACAAACTGCATCAGGATTTCCGTGTTAGGTTGGTTAAAATACTCAACATGGCTTGCCTTTATGACTTATGTGAAGATTTACATACCATGTAAATGTTGAACATGACATATTCCACATCACAGCAGTCGACAATTGTTTTGTTACATTTGTATTATCATGCCAATCAGTCACAAGGGTTTTAACTCACTATTCAAGATTAAATTTCATTTGCAAGTCAACCTTTTGATTACTGTGAGCTTTCCTGCCAGACATGAGATTGAGAGGTTGCAGTTTGATGTTCGTTGATTGACTGACGTACTACCTCCACTCCACTTCATGTTGGGCAGTAGTCACAATCAATCAACAACTCAGGACCAGTTATTTTGCACTACATGTACAACTTTCCTCTCATGCCTTGTTTGATATTACTATACTTCATGAATATTCATCAGGCAACCGCGGTATTTCATTGGTCAATTCCACCATGTTTTTGATCATGCAGTATTTGGATAATACAACATGGTTTATTTTGAAGTGACCAGCTGATTTTAACTCTCTATCTTCTGCTTCCCATGAGGTACCGGTAAATCAGCCACAACTGTGCAGTATTTCACCTCAAACATGTTATATTTGTACATGTACAATGTACTGTATACTAGTATCACATGAGTTCTGCAGATGATTAATGATCAATGACAGCACAAATGTAGGTCACAAGTTTCTAATAATTATGATTGCCTTAAACTTGTCTTATAACAAACTGTAGACAACTGAGAAATAAGTAAGGTCTCAAAACAGGGCCCAAAGTTCAACTTGTTCTTAGCAATGGTGGATAAGAGGCAACAGTTCAGTAAATGTGTGCTGCTTGCTTCACAATTTAATGGAAAATATTCCATGACAACTGGATCCATAACAACTGGATCAAGGCCCTGACCTACATGTACGTACCAGTCATGTACATGTATGCAGGCTTTATCTTGCCCCTCAGCTGCAATCAATTCATTTCCATTACTCTCTTACAATGTGGACAGACGATTTACAATCCTCCCAATAATTGTTTTGCCAGTTCAGTGCTACTCAACACCCTAACTGCCCTGATATACAAGTGATAAATCCTCCTCAGGTTCATCCCAAATGAAGGGTCAATACTTGAACAGTTTGGTAATAATATCTTAACCTTCATTCTGGGTCAAGATCTTGGTGGGAGGACTGTTGAAATGTGACAACACAGAGGTTCTGTTACTTTGTAGAGCTTTTAAGTTTAGTAGTAATTCAGTCAGTTCTTATCAGCAGACCAGATACAATAAAAGTTATAACTTGAGAAGGGATATAAATTATGGTTTTGAGTGGGGAAAGCATTATTTATTGGGCAATGATTGCCGTTGAAAAGCAATGGTAACGACACTCATGAGCCCAGAGTAGTGGTCAAATTTTGTTTCCTGTCTTTCATCAATGACCTAATAATATTATGATAACAATCCATCTTGTCAGTTTGCAGTCACCCCGGCTTTTTATTTCAGATCATCCAGTAACGTGTTCTATTCCCTTTTTATGATTAAACTAGGTCTAGAGGATGAAATCCATCAGGTCACACTGCAGTAAAAATGCCTCCTGATACATGACACCGGTACCAGCTAGTAAAGTACCAATGAAATCTCTCTGCCAACTTGAAGCTGTATGTAACAAATATTTCACATTTTTACTAAAGATTTGATTTACCTAAATACCATACATTATTTCAGGCACTAACTGAGCTCTGAAAAAATGTCCACACACGTTACAATGTAGGTTACATATTCAATGCCATACAAACATGGCTACATCAAATTCTTCTATTGGCACGTAGACACCATTTGATTTCAGAATCAAATATTCTAATGGGGTCCAAAGTCACACCATTTCAACCTTTGACATTCAACTTTGAATACTTTCCAACAACAGATATCCCAAGCATGTATTTATCAAAGAGGAAAATTAACCTACATGTAACTAACAGCAACTCTGGATTTAGCATTATATTATAGGCATTGTGATTAAAGAGAGCTGAATTGACATGTCAGGCCATACATTACAAGACTAAGCATTGCACTTAGGAAATCAAGAAAGAATCGGCAAACCAAAGTTCACATTGGCCAGCCTACCGGTACATGTACATATGACAGAATAGTGATGCAGTAAAGTCAACATAAGTCATGCCTAAATTTTGTTGTGGTTTCTTTGAAATTGTATATAAAAAATTACAGGACTATCTATTGTATATCAAAGTTGTACTTGGTTGTGAGGCACGTACATGTCGGCCTGAAATCCCCGAAAATGTTAAGTTTTGGATTGTTTGCTTATCCTACTTTAAAGGTCTGGTTGAAAGGAAACTAACCTAATGTAGTACTGTTCCCAGTTGTTTACATACACACGCACTGAAATTTGTATCCTTGTGGAGTCATTTCTTTGTTCTCGTGTGCTAAAGTTTACGAGTTTGAAAGGGTAGTTTCAAAATGCTCCTATTGTAACCAGAATTAATTTCCTGGGCTGAAATTTGGACTTAATATCCCTTACATAAAAAACTTCAATTTGCGACACATTATCAACACACCTTGGAAATTTCTAGTTTCTGAGTAAAATTCATGTATCTATTTCGTGATAACCTTGTGGAGATGTATTCATCTATAGAAGTTGCCCTGTGGAGAAGTATACAATCTTTTGTTCCCTATTATACACATGTCTCCACAGGGTACCGTGTACCAGATCACTTTTGATGCATACCCATTTCCAGCCGTGTCCATTCAATGTGTTGTGTGTGACACATAATACACACAGCACCATTACACAAATGGTTTTCTCGCACGTCCGCAAAATGCGATGCACCGCAGTAAAATATGTGCGGCAGGAATCACAACTACTGGGTAGCACAAAACAGCTTGATTTTTGAGAGTCAAAATTTGGACCCCCAAAATTCATTCTCATGCGCCATCGCAAGAATAACACAAAAATGCCCAGTTTTTAAAGGACGGTTGTGTGGACGTTTATATACATCCTACTTTTTAATTCTCTCTTTCAAATGAACATAATTTCGTTTAAAGTGTGTTTTGTAGCCCAATTGGGTGCATATCAGGACGTAATGTCCCTTTAACCCCATTTTAATTAAACAAGAATGTAACGACTGTGATGGAAGCTGTACCTTTAACCTATGATAAACAGAAAGATATGGATTGGAAATATTACCTGATGAATCTATCTATTTTTTTGTTGAAGATGCAAACTCCAAATGACTTTAGCCAGCTCTAGGTACCTAAAATAAAGATATCAAAAATCACAAGAAAAATATCAGTGCACAATAGTAAGGATATGGATATCACAAATGCTCAATCTGACATTGTTCCAAAAATAGGCAAACTAAACACAAACACAGCCAACCTCGGCTTTTATTATTTGTTTTCAATTTCAGTTGTTTCAGTGTGTTTATTGTTGTACCGTATCACTTTCAAATCAATTTCCAAAAACTCAACACAAACCAAATGGTTGTGTTTCCTTGACATATTTTTTTCCATACCAAACACTTTTGTTCTGCTTTATTAAAGCATCTCACTGGTAGCAGCCTAGCACAAGCCAGTGCACACAGGCACATCATGTAGCTGGATACTGCACACTGGGCTACATGTACATGTATGCATCAAACACCACCAAACAGGAGCTCATACACATTAAGAATCCACAGGATTAACTGATAATTTTACCCCAAAATGTTGGCAAGTTGCTGATTGAAGAGCTTCTTAATCCTTCTGGATGTTTGTATTTGATATGATACAAATTCTTCTACTTTGTAATCCCTGATTAAAGTCATGCTACTTAATTTGGGTGTACAGTTAACTCTTACAAACTAAGAGGCATCAATCAATCACAAGGCTTGTACTAGCACAATGGGAAAAAATGCCAAAATCACTCTTGAGGGCTTTGTGAGCATTTCAACTGTCCAACCAATAGTATAGTACATTGTAAGATGCCGTAAACACGATGGTGTACATACCGTACATGTACACATGATCTGCTACCCGGTATGCTTGCGTGCACTAAAATAAAGCTCCTGGTACCAGAAGTACCGGTACCTCAGTACCCCCCGGCAACCTTAACCCTGCACAATCCAACAGAATCCAACTATTTGTCATTTCCGTTGGATTCTGTTGGATTGAGCAGTAAACCCCTTGTACATGTACATGTATACATGTATATTCCTGTTCAAATCTGTTGGATTCAGCAGGCAACTGAAAGCACCCATAGTCAGATTCTGTTGGGTACTAGTAAATATCGCTGGATATAAGTTGGACTCTGTTGGATCCAGCAGCAAACCGAAAAATAAGGCAACTGGACTCTGTTGCATTGAGCATATATCAGTTATTTTACCGGTATATTTTCAGGCACCCAACAATTTGGCAAGTTGGATTGTGTGAGACTGTGTTGGATTGAGCAGGAAACTCACATGACTGAATAACTGTCGGGGATTTAGCAGGGTAGTCCAGGGGAACAATTAGGGGTTAGGGTTTGGTTGTACCCAGGTAACCAGAGTAAACCACCAGATCTCAGGAACCCCTGTCACACCAGCAGGGTTGCTAGACGCTATCCAGGTAGAAAGTCCCAAATGTTCCTCCAACCAGTGTACACAAGACAATAGAACAGGCCTATGCATGAATTTTGATAGAAGGGGAAAGCCTACCGTGTATGTTCAATGTATCCTTAAAAGACAATCACTGTACAAAATATCCTCCTTTTTCCTGTATAATGTTGAGGAGACTGACATGTTAAATGAGGTTCATAAGGGAATGATTGAAATTGCTTCAGTGTGAAAATGAATGCAGTTGAAAAAACAACATGCTTGCACAATCAAAATTCTGAAGAACCAATTCAACCATGGCAAGCCTAAGAATCTTTATTAAGTGAATCTAAATGAGAAAAGGCAAGTCACTAAATCTGCTTCTATTCCCATTTCCTATTCAATCACAAGCTTGATGAAAGAAATTGGTGTGTATTTAATATTTAATGTTTAACAATTTTATGTTTAATCTGTAATCCGTCGTATCTTTTTAGCGAACAAGCAAGCGAATTTCTACCACACTGTATGTTTTCACATACTGGGTAGGCCTATTTGTTGCAATATGATATTAAATAAATAAACAATAAAGAAAAAACATGTACACGTACAAGTAAATGTATGCTGACAAAATATCTACTACAATGTTGAAAACAAGAACTGCAATTTCCAATTCCTCTCTGGTAAAGAACATTTTCTGCAGGCATTCCATTCACAGCGGCTTGAATGAGTCATCCCAACACACAACACATCACAATTCAATCTTCATTTGCACTTGGTCAGCATTGAACCTCAAATTACTGACAGGACATGGTGTTTCTCCTCCACAGATTGGCCATGGAGCCACAGCTATTGTGGCTGTACAGTACATGAAAGCTTTTCATTTAAGGAATGGATTTATGAGTCTGTCAGTTGATGCTTCAATTCATCTCTGAAAGCAATTTTTTTGGAGGAGGAAGGGGTGGAAAATTCTAAAAGTGTACCTCCTGAAGATATCTACATACTATACCAGTACATGTACAAACATGTAACTTTGTGACTGCAACATACATTTAAAGATCACATTTTTACAGCACAGAGTACATATAGTATTTTTGAAGTATTAATGGGTTGATTGGTGTCGGGGGGGGGGGGAATATTTCTGGACAATAATTCAGCCAAGCATAAATCAACAACAGTGTTTCCCATGCCCATTCAATTGCAAGGGGACCCACTTTGTAAATGTTAGAGGCAACCTCTGCCTTCTTCTTTTTTGGCCATAAATTAATACCAGCTCAGCTCACCTCACAAAAGGAAATTTGCAATAAAAAAAAAGGAAATTGATACAGGAAAGTATTTTGTGTAAAGTGTGGAGTCACCAGTTTTTCCACTCTGGATGAAAAAGCTACATCTGATATTTTTGATACAAGTTCATCAAGTGTTCATGTGTATACAGAAAGTGTAAAGTGAAAATGCTGAGTACATTTACCGGTATGCGGTATCTGTTTTGCAAGCTAAAATGCACAAGTGAGTGTGCAGTTTCAGGTCCGCTGCAGATTTTGGTACACCCTCACTACACTCCCCCAAAACCCAGGGGAAACCCTGCTCAACCACTTACATTGGCACCTTATTAAAGTGCTAAGGCATGTCAATCGATTCATTTTATCACAAATTGAATTATCTTGATGAAACCTAAGGCAATCATTCATCTGTAGGGACTTAAAGGAATACTAGACCCTTTCCTGGTTAGTGGCCCACTGATGATCACTTAGCTTCAGGTTTCTGGACATTAAGAATGCTATTCCAGGCATTTCAAACAAACAGCCTAGGGACCTGGTCTTTTAACACTCTCCTAAATGAACTTGATAATGAATCACACGTGTGTAGAAAGTAACCCACTGAGACTGTTACTGGCACTGAACTTGGGAAATCACACATGTCCAATTTCAAAGGGATTTGCTATCAACTCCACCTAAAATCCATAACCTGACATTCATAAGATGGAATTTTTGCATTGGGGTGATGTAAATCAAATTAGGTTTTGCCCTTCACCAACGTATAAACAATGTATACTCAAGTGTGTTACCTCCCGAGTGAAAGTTGGAAAAAAATCACTCGGGTGGGACTCGAACCCACGACCTCCTGCTTTCTAGTGCAGATGTCTTACCACTCGACCACCGAGCTAACAGGATCGGTTGGCTGGTTCGAATGTGATGTACATACAGCGGATACCGCATTAACTATTCGTAAGATGGAATTTTTGCATCCAGGTGATGTAAATCAAATTAGGTTTTGCCCTTCACCGACGTATAAACACTGTATACTCAAGTGTGAGAGTACCACAAAGAACCCATACAGCTTTGTTGTCTCAAAGATCGCCGTTTATGTTTACACATACATGTGAAACACAGAATTGGCTATTCCTTACCACTGCCGAGTAGAATAGCATCAGAAGTGTATACACAAAGTTCTATCGTGCACTATACAGTCATTTCATTGGTCTAGAACTTTTATGTGGAGATCAGTGATATATCGCAAAATGTTCAATGCGCGCGTTGCACACACGTACATGTATGGAACCTGCCGGCGCGCTAGCTTCGCGCAATGAGAACTGCAACGTCAACTGCTCAGTCTCATGTTCGGCAGGACATCAAAACTTTCAGTTATCAAAGGTTACATCGCAGTGGTTTAATTTATTTCTCAAACAGTAAGTTACAACCATTTATCGTTTTGACTTCGGCCTATTGGCAAGATATAACCAAAAAATTGTTGACTGCTGTGATATGGGATATGCCATTTTTAACCCCCTCGGGGCACATAGCACCTGAGGTGAACACCCTTCAGGTGTTCAAAACGTCATATCCCACATCACTAAATTCAATGATGAAATAATTTATTGCCAGCTACCGGTACCATTTTACATAAAATAATAACAACACACAGTGACCAGGATGTGACCTAAATTCTCCACAATCAACCCAAAATATCAATATTCATACATTAATTAATAGCCCAAACTGCAACCTGGCCTGAGTGTGTTTGTTTTTATGCTACAAGTACATTGTAGTACTGTAAATATCCACATGCACAGTTTACAGAATGGTAGTCAGCATACCAGTAATCATCATGAACAAATTAATCAAAATTAGGAATATCATTTGATTAAAGTACACCACGATGCCTACTGACATCACATGTCTGCAAATAGAATGGAGACTGTTAGTACATGTATGAAAAGTGCCATTTGGACCAGTCAAAATAACTTGCTTGCTGTTTTCATACAATTCAGAAGCATAGACATTCAACAAAATGTGTTTTCAATTGAAATTCCTTCAAACAATAAGATGTGAAAGTAGCAATAAATAGTGTTCAGTGCATGGGTACTGAAATTAGGGATAGAAAAGTATCCTCCTTTTCAGATTTTATTCAGAATACAAATGTACATACGGTATATGCACTGTGGCTCTTGTGTGACAAATGCTACACTGTGAATTACAAAACTTTGCAGCTCTCATCTATTATATCTATTATCAATTTCTAAATTTTGTGAAGATTGTTAAGTGTCCCCCAGGCAAGGGCCTACCAAATGTTTGGCATAATGGTCTGAGCATAGAGCCTAGCTCTATGGTCTGAGGAGGTGTAATCAAGTGTCCTTGTTCCTTTCCTCCTGCCTCATAGATCTGGCTTCATCTCAGTGAGTAGGCAATCAGGATCCACCGCCAGCACTC